CACATTTTACACTGTAACCCAGGACACCTTATCACCAAAGTGTGAGATAGATAAGCATAAGATCAACACCTGGAGGAAAAGCTGGGCCATCTGCAAGGAAGGAAAGGGCAGGAGATAGGAACCAGCTGAGATATGAGAGTCTTTATTTAGAAGCTTTTATTAAAATATTAGTGTGTTCCCTCCTGTGGGTAGAAATAAGAGGCAAACGTGAACTGTTTGGCATCCACTCACAAAGCTCTTGCACAACGGGGAAATAAGGTGAAACGTGACAGAAGAAGCCCTTGGTGGAGGATGTGGACTCACGGTGATAGAGTGATAGCGTTTGGAGTGGGCTGCCGAGGAGAGAGAAAAATGTTCTCCTACATAGTCATTGCAGGTCATTCCAGGAGAAATGGTGTTTACCACTTGGGCAATGGTCAAGGCATTTAGGGCAGATGAGGTAGAAGCCTTAAAGTCTGAAGTCAGGCATGTTTTGGTGGGCTTAGGGCTTCTGCCAGTGAAAGGGTGCATAGTCAAATGGAAGAATCAGCCGCAATGCCAGCGAAGGCTGGCTCAGTCAGACAGGACAGTCATTCTTCCTTTTGAGCTGCCGGTTGTGTGGGAGAAGGAAGGACTATGACTGATGCAGTGGGTGGGCTTTGGGGTGGAAGAGGAAGATGCGGAGCAAACCCTGGGACGTCATAAATAGTCACCCATGGGCGATGCCTCCAGGACAGGGCTCATCCGAGGGCTGGACACTGCTGGCTCCACGTGGCATCGCTCCCAGGTAAGCCGGGAAGGCAGGAGGACAGGTTCCCTGGGCTTTAACTGAGTCCCCTTACTTTTGGCCATGGAGATGTGCTGGCAGGAAGGGAGTCCTTTCGAGTGTCCTGACAGAGGCTGGTTCAGCTGCACTTTCACTTTACCTCCCCTTACAGAGGGGGTTTGTCTGTCTGTATTGGCTGAGCTAGAAGAAAGCAGCGAATGCAAACTTACTTCTTGCTCAAGGGGAGAGCTGGGGGACAGCAAGCCGTGGAGACCTTCCTGGGGGAAGGAGACCTCCTGCCTCCCCCAGGGAGAACGCAGCAGTGGAGCAGGAGGGTCCTTGGAGAGGTTAAGGGGACACTTGCAGAAGACCACAAAAGCCTTCAGCTGGTGAAAGCGGCCCACTCTGTGAGCTCCAGAGGAGCAAGAGCTATTCTGGAAGGCCCTCCAAAGTGGGGAGGTGGGACTCAGCACTGGATGCTTGTGGCTCTGGGGGGACAACCGTGCCCGATCTCTGGACTGCAGGTGAGACCACGGTGAGGGCAAGAGGCCCTAAATCTCTTCTAACTGAGGTGGGGAGGATAGAAAGCAGAGGGAGGGTGAAGCTCCAGGATGGGTGGAGCTGGTGGTCCACCTTGGGCTTCTTGGCTTGTGTTCTCTCCATGGAGCAGGGTTTTACAGTCCTGTTACTCCATGTTCAGCCCTCCCTGGCCCTCAGCAGCCTGCCGGGGCTGGCATGGCTGGTCTCTAGCAGGTCGCAGCAATGCGAAGCCCCCCATTGGGCTGGTGTCTCTCCAGCCATGCAGAGGCCCCAATGCACCGCCTGAGCTGCTCCTCCCCATTGCTGTGCCCGAGGGGGGCTGAGGCGGCTCTTCCCGTGGAAACAATCACGCGGTGCCTGTTTGCTTCTGCTTCCGCAAAGCCAGGGTGAGCCTGAAATAAATTAGCCAGTATGAGAAGCAGCTCAATTCAAGGAGCTTGCGCAAAATGGGTTGCAAGCCCCCAGGAAAGGGGAAAAATGCATGAAACCAACCTGAAGCAAAAATGAGCACCAGGTAGAAGAAACCTGGGAAGCTGGGACAACAGCACACCAGGTCGTTTTCAGCAGTCCCAGAGTGGCACCCCCCATCTTGCAAGTGCATAAGAGGGAGAGCTACTTTTTGACGATGTATCCCCTGGAGATGGGCAGGCACTTTCTAGGTGAACTTGTAACTTAATAAAACACCAGTGAAGCTGGATGGCTTGCCTGAGGATAGGTGATAACCTTTTCTTAATCAGCTTTAATTGGTTTCAGCATATTCAGACCTGTGGTAGGAGTAGTGCATGATGGGGATGAAGCTGCTGTTGGATTTGATTTTGATTGGAGACTGATGGTCTTTCACAAGTCCTTGTACTTTCATCTCTTTCCTGGCTCCCTCCTGCTCATTGTAAGCACTCAAAGTCAAACCAAGCCACAGTGGCTGCTCTTCTTCCTGCGGTAACGTTTTGGAGGACCTGACCTTGCAGGTCATGCAGGTTTCAAGGCTCAAGCAGAAATAGTAGCAGGTCTTCTCCTTTTGTGATAAAATAACCTCAAGAAAAATATTTGGTGGCAGTAGATCTGTGTTAATATTGAATTTATTTTTTAATATTTAATTAATTAGATGGCATGGGGAAAACAGAATTTCCATTGGAAATTACTCTCAAGTAAGGGCGGTGCTGGTGGGGTAGACTGGGACCTAAAAGCATGAACCAGCAAAGTCCTGTCCACCTGTGGCTGTGAGATGGGGTGGGGGAGCTGTGGAGCATTGTGGGGATAAAGGCAGCCCCTTCCTCTCCTCTTCTTCCTCCCCATCCCTGTGCAGGGCGGCCATGTGTGTGGGGAGGTGCAGCCGGATCGTGGGTCCCTGCCTGCTGGTGCTGGGCACGCTCTCCATGGCAGCCAACGTCCTCCTGCTCTTCCCTGGCGGGGCATCAACGTACCTGGCAGAGGGGCACATCAGCAAGCACGCTAAGGCCATGCCAGGTGTCTGGGGAGGCGGTATCACTGTGAGTAGGGTGGTTTGCGCCGCGTCCTGCCTCACGTGTCTGTGGAGCAGGGACAAAGGGGTAGAGCAGGTGCTCCCCTTCGTCCCCCAGCGGCTTTTTTCTTCCTGCAGGTGCTGGTGGCAGCAACCCACATCACAGCGGTGGGGTGGCGATGCGCCGGCTGCTCTGACTGCGGCACCCGTCGCAACGTAAGGCAGTGCCAGGACCCCTGTGCCAAAGCAGTCTCAAGCAGCACGTGGTGGGACATGGCGGGAGGCCCCCCTCCCATGTCGGGTCATGGCAGGGTGCCACCTTCCCTGTGGCCCCATGGTGGGACGTGGCATGGATCCCCCTCTCCCATGGCCCCATGGTGGGTTGTGGTAGGGTGCCCCCTCTCCCATGGTAGGATGCTCCCTGTGGTGGGATGCTGTGTGGTGCCACCTCCCCAAAGGACAGGGCTTCCCGTGCGTGCTGGCATGGGCTTTACATGGCCACTCCCTGCCTGTCCCCACTCCCTGCCTGCTCCTGCCCAGCTCTAAGCAACCCAGCAAAGGCTCCATTCTCAGCCTTGGCTCCCTGGGGCTGGAGCCCCTTGGGGTGAGGGGGAGGGGAGTTTTGCCCCCTTATCAAAGTCCACTGATAACATGCAGCTGCATTTTGGAGCCCACCTGACTTTCAGTTTCCCCCCACTGCCCTCCCTGGGCACTGCCCACAGGCTTTCATCTCTGCCGTGCTCTCCAAGCTGGCACTCCTGGGTGCTGCTGCCTGCTTTGTCTTCTCCGGGGTGGGTTTGACCAATGGACCCCTCTGCTTCTACAACGCCTCCAAGCATGGCCACGGCAAGAGCACCCTTTGGGGTTACCCCTTCCTGGACACCGGTGGCCAGGAGCCTGGCGCCAGGTGAGGCAGCGGGGTTGAGTCGCTGGTGGTGCCTCATCAGCTTATTGCTAATTAAGTTGGTGTTATTTATGGTGGCTGGCTGGGTGGGCTTGCTGGTGGTGATGCAAGACCCCAGTAGCCCAAGAGGTCCTCACCTTCTATGGCTTTCTATGTGCTGCTTCCCATCACCCTGCTGACCCCGCTCATCCTCAGGATGAAGGATGGGGTGCCTGGGGCACACCTCCACGGTAGAAAGCAATGCGTTTCGTGACCCGCTGCAGGGCAGCATCTTGAATCTCCTCCTCTCCCCATTGTGCAGGATAGAGAACTACCTGTATGATCATCACACCTGGAGCATCTGCCTGGAGCCAGAGGGTGTTGTGGCTTGGAATGTCGCCCTCTTCTCCATCCTGCTGCTCATCAGTGCTTCTGAGATGGTGCTGGCCTCCCTCCAGATCCTTAACGGCTGGCCTTGGGAATTGTGAGGGGAAGTAGGACCTGTGATGGTGCCAGGAGGCTGGCACTTGGAGGAGATATCATTCCTGGGTGTCCCATGGCTGGTGGCAAATGCCATGGTGGGGATACGACAGGAACTGTGATACTGCCCGGTGCAAGAAGGATCGAGTGCCCCAAGGGGGACAGACACTCCAGCCTTCATGAGATGTCAAAGCAGTATGTGTGGGATCAGCGTGCAAAGAGCTGCCTCTGTGCAGAGACCTCCGCCTGGGCGATACCTCTTCCTCCTCCCTGGAACTGATGCTCTTGGGCCTGGCAGCCGTTTGGGGTTGGAAATCATCCTGGTGAGTGATGGAGGTGAGGGCCTGGCTCCTGGCATCCTGGCATGAGCCCAAAGGCTTCCCCGGCTGCTCCTCATCAGCCTCCACCTACCCAAGTGCAGAATGATACACAATGGTATTTGTAGAGAGAAGAGCTAGATCACTAACTTATTTTTGTTAACCAACCTGTATTTAGGGCAGCTTGTGTTGGTGGTTGTCTCCTCTGTGGGGCAGGAGAGGTGAAGGAGATGGGAGGAGCCGAGCTGGGCTTTGGCTGGGAGGACTTGGATAGAGTCATGTTGGGGGTGGTAGTGCTGGCATTAAGGTGTAGCCCCCCCCAAGGTTCACGCATAAACACATGCAAATGTTAGGAGCAGCCGCTCAGCCCCACCAGTCAACAACCTCATTGCACCACCCACTGCTGCGCTCACGGGGCTGTCACTGCCTCCAGTGCATCCCCCATCCCCGCGCCCTCATCCCTTAAACCTCCACAGGGACCAAGGGTGGGTACAGA